CCCGTGCTCAATCACAATCATCGTCTCATTAAACTCCCATTTGCACCTTTCGTTCGGCTTGTTCGTCTCAAGGGGCTGGATATAAAGGCTCAAGACATGCTTCAGTGCATCTTTACTCAGTACCCATTTCATATTGGAAGAGATAAAACAAGGTTCAGCTTCTATCGGCACAAGAGCGGGGAGAACGTTACGCTTTTCGGCTCCAGCAGGTCGAGTACTGGGTGCAACAGGCAGAGTATAGGGTACCCCCGTACTGGGCTGTTTCGACTCTATTTTCTCTATATTCGTGATTTTTTCGTTCTCCGGCTCGTATGTACATTCTTCAGGTTCCTCGAGATCCTCACAACACGAATGTGTGACGCTTGAACTCATTGGACTTGCTTCGAGGCGACAAACTAGTCGGTCCATTTGTTCCGCCAATTGGCTCATTTGAACTTGTAAATTCCTTATGCGCAGTCCATGGTTCTCGATGCTCTCCTCTTGGCTCTTGATGCTCACTCCAACACTTTTCTGAAAGTTAAGAGTGTGAGTCGTCAAATCCATCATCATATCCTCGAGTGATGGACCAGGATCTCTCTCAACTAATGGCTCGCAATACTCTTGCCGAAATTTCAACGTGTGTAACATCAATGCCTCTATCATCTCCTCGAGCGATGGGCTGGGATCTCGCTCAATTGGTGGCTCGGAGTACCCATGGAACGAGTTGGAGTGCTCTCTCAAGTGGTATCCATACTCATCGGTATAGAAGTAGTCTTGTTCGTTCCTTTGCCAACCACTAGGTCCTCTTACGCCTTGATCCCCAATCCACGGGCCTCGTATCTCCCTCTCATACTGGTAAGGTGCACGGTGAGAATAAAAATCATGATAATAAGCTGCCATCTCTGAAAGATATTTATTTTGGCATTAGTTCGAAGGTTCGAACAAGCACCTGGAACTACAGAAATAGGGAAGATCTTTGCTTATTTGTTTCCTTAATTACGATTATTTTATATTCCATAAATAAGAGATTATGGATCTTATTATGGTACTTTGTTTTGTAGGAAATCGGATGAGATAAGGAAGGGAGAGGCATGTATGATAAAGAGATCAAGGAGAGAGAGAAGAAGATTCACTTACCAAATTTCTCATGCTATAATCAAGGAAGGAAATCAAGGTTGGAGTCCTATGCCTTGTAGAAGACTCCAACCCTAAGGAGATTCTTTTAAATACCCGTATGCAAGATCCTATTTCGGCTGCTGAGTTTCGAAGTTATTTAGAGCAATATTTGAGCTTCGTATTTTCTGTTAAGTTGAGTTGTACACAGTTCAGTCTGAGAGTTCGAACTAACTCAAGGACTGAAGCTGTTTTATTTTGTTCTTTGTGTTTCATCCAAAAACTATTTTACAGCTTATACACTTAGGGAGTAAGTGTAGGTTATCAAAGTCCACGGGACGTGGCCGGAGAATTAGTTGATAGGATCTGTGTAGTGTTGGCTAGGCTTGAAGGGAGTTCGAGTCGTTGTAAGTCCAAGCTATGTGTATGTTTGATCTATCAATGAAAGAGCTCTGAGGGGAAGTGGGACGCTTCCCTGAAGAGTTTTAAAATCTTCGGTTTATTGCTTCCGCATTATTCAGTTCTTATTTTCAGTTCGCACCACCATTAAGCGCACTCTGTAATAAGTATACGTTCCAATTGGCACCAGAGCAGTGTTCCTGTTCTAATTACGGGATAAAGATCCTTGGGACTGTGTATCGGGCACCATGAGTCATGATGGGATGTCTGTTACGCGCCCTCCGTTTCTTGATGGTTCTAACTACTCGTACTGGAAATCCATGATGGTGATCTTCCTTCGATCCCTTGGTAAAGGAACATGGCAGGTGGTGGAAAATGGTTGGACTTTACCACTTCAAGAAAAAGTTCCTGCTGAAACTAAAG